CAATCGTACAGGAATGATCGAGACATTAATGAAAGAAATACAGTCGTACAGGAATGATCGAGACATTAATGGAAGAAATACAGTCGTACAAAAATGATCGAGACATTAATGAAAGAAATACAGTCGTACAGGAATGATCGATTGTTTCTGCATCAACAATCTAGACATATTTCGTTCACTATCAGAGTTGGATCCACTGTCAAAGCATTTTCTTAATGGTGAATTACTTAAACCACTGGCAGAACATTATAAACTGAACTTAAAAAATTTGTTTATGGAGGTGAAGCAAGCGAAGCGAATGGTAGAAAGGAAGAATACAAGATTTGACTCAATGATTGAATTTGCTGCATATTTGAAACCGCTGTACATGGCTTTCACAGAGTTGTTCCAGGGCCTGCAGATTGCTCTAACCCTTCCTGCGAGCACTGCTGGGTGTGAAAGGACCTTTAGCAAACTGAAGCTTATAAAAAGCTCACTTCGCACAACAATGGAACATCGTGGTCTTAAAAGTATTGTAATATTGAGTGTTCACGGACAGAGAGCATTAGACATCGATCTTGATGACGTGGTGGATACAATGGTGGCCAAATTTCCAAGCATGCGCATTACATTGGTATAAAAACGGACAAACTGGATAAGTGCTGTACATACACTTTAGGATCGATCCTAACTTGTAGTTTTTAACTTTCCAAGCAGGAAAACTGAGGAAATTTAAGTTTCATTAGAAAAACTTGTGACAAATTTATTATTAAACTTCTCGAATAATTTGTTTTCATGTGATTTATATTTTCAGATAAAACATAATATTGTATGGTATACAGTTGTTTTATCCTGATGACAAATATATTGCTAGGTTTTCCAATTCGTATATTTCATTTTGCATGTATTCATTATTATAATTTATTATTATTTGCACGTGAAAATTATTAGTAAGTCTTGCCTTATTGTTTTAGAAATTCAGATCAGTATCATCAGTTAATATTATATTGGTAATTTCAGATAGGAAAACACATTCGTTCCAACATAAGTGCCGATAATTGTGCATTGTTACATAGTGATAATTGAGGTAAAATTAATATTTTGATCATTTTTATTTAGATGCCCAAAATAAACAATATGTAATTATGTGTGTATTCCATTTGGTATTATGGATATTGTCGATTAAAATAGTTTCTTACTGTTCCAGTGATTTCTGTTGGCAATTTGTATTTGTACATTAACCAATAAAACCAAAAATATTATATGCTTTGCAAAATAATATTTTTATTAACTTCTAATTATAATCATTGGTTGAAATGTGAAAATATTTGTTCTTTAACGACACATGCCCCCCAGTGGCACAGCTGTATGTCTGCGGGCTTACAACGCTAGAAACCGGGTTTCGATACTCGTGGTAGGCAGAGCACAGATAGCCCTTGTGTAGCTTTGTGCATAATTAAAAACAAACAAACTTTAACGACACCCAGATTTGGGTTACTAATCTACCTTGATAAAACTTTTGAGACAAATAGCTCCTCCAAACATAAATAACATCTGCCCCCCCTCCGAGATAGTAAGGTAAGCCATATGTATGAATTCGTAAAACATAAGGTAATTATTCATATTCGTAATACCGTTTTAGTCAACTGTTTGTTAGCGGCCTAAGAACAGTGTTTACTAATAATGTAACTTAATCTGACTATACACAACTGCAAAAATGACACGTGAACTAGAGAGTTTAATGTATTTATACTTCCACTAAGGATTACAGCAAAGAAAAATTTTAGGAATTCTTAGTAATTATCATGATACATTTCTAAGTGCCAGGACACAACAGATCAATTTATATAATCGGAAACACTTCTACGAATGGTAGTTGTCACGCATTGTCGAGTAGCAACGCCAAAGGTATGCGTCATCACTGTTTTAGTGTCTCGTACTTACGAGATAGTTTCTCGTACGTCCGAGATGAGACCTTCAATTTTCTTTTTCACCTTGCGATTCAGGCTTCCGTAGTATCCAATTCTTCTGTTTCTTTTTCGTTAATTTTGGCCTCTCCCGCCAAAAGACAGTGCCCCCCTCTCCCCAGCCACTAGTACGCGCCCCCCGGAGGCGCATGTCACAGCTTGGAAATCACCGACTCCAATGAAAAGTGCTGTTAGTCGATCCTCCAGTTAATGTTACAAGTGGTATATATAAGAAGGGTCTATACGCGTACGTATTATTATTATTATTTGGAAATACACTTAAAGTATAGAACCGTTCGAAATATCTTGTATCTTATTGTCATTTTACCAGTACTCTGAGACTTGGTTTTTATTTGTTTTCTTGCTTTGAGTTTCTTTTGTCTTGTGGGTTATTTGAGTGGTCCCAAAACTTCGGGATTTTGGTAATACTCTTTTTTGCCATGCAAAAAATGAAACAATAAGATATTTTCCCCAGGATTAAAATAAAAAATAAAGGAGATTGGTATTAGATCCAGTTTCAGAATTACCAAAGGCTGGGCGTGGCCCAATGATTAGCGTTTCGGAGTTTGACTCTACGGATCAAGTTCCGTGTCCTACTACCGAACGAAGAAAAAAAATCACATTTAACACTTTATGGCCATGGGGTGCCTTAATTATGTAACGATTAAATCCCACTGTTCGGTCCATCGAGAGAAGTGCAAGAGTTATTGACTAGCTGCTTTCCCTCTAATCTATCTATTCAAAATTTCTGCGGACTTACAACGCTGGAATCCGGGTTTCGATACCCGTGGTGGGCAGAGCACAGATAGCCCATTGTGTA